CAAAGGATAATGCATTGGGCGTAATCAAACTACCCTCAGCAGAAAATATTAAATACTTTCTTTTATTATCATTTCATTCTAAAACCGTTTACCATAACGAGTGTTTAGCAATAAGAATGTAAATCATAATCATGAAAAACTGGTAGAGTTATTTCAACTGCTTTATATTTTATTTGTTGTGAATATATATATTTGCGGGAATATACATTTCTGAGAAAATACGCAAGAATGAATTATGAATATTTATATATCTGTGATTGTAGGTTAGTATCTATTTTTGTCACGTTTCAAAGGAAAGGCTATGAATATCTTTTAGAGCGAATAACAATAACGTCGCACTAGACACACCACGATCGCGCACGCACACTACTGCGCACACACATTCAACACACGTTATCACATACCACACACACAACACACACAGCAGCGACACACACACACACTCGAGCTCTCTCTGTCTCTCTGCTCTCCTGCGCTGCCTACTCCTCTCTCTCTGCTGCTCTCTCTCTTGCTCTCATCTCTCTCATCTCGTCTTCCCTCTCTCTCTCTTCGCTCTCTCTCTCTATCTTCTCTATGCTCTCTTCCACTCTCTTCTCTCTCTCTTCTCCCTCTTTCCTCCTGTCTCTCCTCTCCCTCTCTCTCTCTCTCTCCTCTCTCTCTCTCTCTCTCTCTCTCTCTACTCTCTCTTCATCCTCTCTCTCTCTCTCTCTCTCTCCTCTACTCCTCTCTCTCTCTCTCCTCTTGGCCCCCCATTTGACTCTTCTCTAACCCCTCCCCTCATCCCTCTCGTCTCGATCTCTCCTCTTTTCTCTGCTCTCTAAATCTAATTCACAAACACACATATTACTCTCTCTAACTCATATTAGTCTGTCACGTCTCTTCTCTCTCATCTCCTCCTACTCTCTCTCTATCTCTCTCTTCTCTCTTTCTCTCTTCTTCTCTTCTCCTCCTCTTCTCTTCTTCTTTCTCTCTCTCTCTCTCTCTCTGTCCTCTCTCTCTTTCTTCTCTCTCTCTCTCTCATCCCTCTCTCCTCTCTCTCTCTCTCTCTCTCTCTTCTCTCTCTCTCTCTCTCTCTCTCTCTCTCTCTCTCTCTTCTCTCTCTCTCTCTCTCTCTCTCTCTCTCTCTACTCTCTCTCTCATCTCTCTCTGCTCTCTGCTCTCTCTCTCTCTCTCTCTCTCTCTCTCTCCTCTCTCTCTTCTCTCTCGCTCTCTTCTTCTCTCCCCTCTCACCCCTACTCACTCCTCCTCTCTCTCTACTCTCTCTCTCTTCTCCCCTCTCTCTTCTCTTTCCACAAAACAACACCCATACACACACTCACAACACACACAACTTTTCACACACAAGCAAATATAGTGTAGCAAGTCTTCGTATAAATATACCATTATTGTTCATTCTTAGCAACCGGAATCCCCGAACGAAAATAAGGTGACTGCCGAGATAGGTCAGATGGTATGCCAGACATTTTGAATAAATACGAAAATTCATAATATTCTTAGGCGTCCATTGCTATATTAGAATAAAATTGTATGTGTTGAGAGTGAGAGAGGAGGGGGAGCGAAGAGAGAGAGAGAGAGAGAGAGGAGAGGGAGAGGGAGAGGGAGAGGAGGGAGAGGGAGAGGGAGAGAGAGAGGTGAGGGTGAGAGAGAGAGAGAGAGAGAGAGAGAGAGAGAGAGAAGAGAGAGAGAGGACAGACAAGAAGAGAGAAAAAAGAGAAGAGAGGAGAGAGAGAGAGGATGAGAGAGAGAGGAGAGAGAGAGAGAGGAGACAGAGACAGAGACAGAGACAGAGACAGAGACAGAGACAGAGACAGAGAAAGGACAGAGAGAGAGAGAGAGAGAGAGAGAGAGAGGGAGAGAGAGAGAGAGAGAGAGAGAGAGGGGAGAGAAGAGAGAGAGAGAGAGAGAGGAAGGGAGGAGAACGATATTCGAGTTAGTTGATGAACCATGTTATGCAAAAAAAAGAGAAAAATATCCATACATATAAAAAAAACACAATCAACTACCTTCTATAGCATTCACAGAATCAATAAACTTGTCTTTTATCATACAGAGATAAATCTTGCTTAGATGGATCGCAAAGTCTATTCAAGGTATCATATATTAAACCAATCACTTCCAATCACTTCCAATTATATGTCTTTCATTATATAACTAATAAATTATTTTGGACGAGTCACCAAATAATCAAAAGTAAAAATTCTAAATAGATGAATGCAGCTGTACCCTTACATTCACATACCTCAGTGTGAATGTTGAAATATACTTGAACATTTAGCTATAGGATTACGCAAAGTTAATTAAAGACCCCAATATATTTCACACTACTAATGAACTCTTCCGGGCTACATGATACATTTCCTTGAGCGCCGGGTTAGAAGTTAAAGACCGCTGGCCTAAAATACAGTGAACAAAGGGTGTACTGTACATCCAATTAGGGTTCTGAAATACGACCGTGTGTTGATTCATATCAAGACATGAGGGAAAAAATGTTTGTATGTTGCTATCTTTTGTAGTGTTTTATCATTCCTCATTAGGTGAAAAAATAACGATGTCATATAACCATAAGAACACGTGGTCTGTGTGTAAATGGTTGCATGAGTGTTTTGCGTGTTGGGGTGTGCGG